TTATTCACTAGATTATCCATGCTGTCAAAAAAAAAACAAAAAAAAACAACAACAAATCTTACAGTAAGACAAATTATGCTCTGTTCAATCAGATCTCCCCCACATTCCCTCTGTATTCCAATTGTAAAGAGGAAGTTCCACCCAGCTTTTTCATAAGAACTGCTACTTTGTAGAATAAACTCCTGTATAAATGCTTCCCTGAACATTATAACCTTAATCTCTTCAATTGCTATCTATCCTTCTTATCTTCATAATCTTCATTTCCTTTTACCCCCTTGTTACAATTATATCATACACTTCATTCAGTAATCAATTGCCAGTTTTTGAATCCAATATATTTAAGAGAATAAATGAAATCTTTTGGAACATATTGTGAGTTTGTGTGAATGTACTTTCAAAACAAAATATATATATATATATATATATATATATATATATATATATATATATATATCTTGAGTCTGTATTCTTGTATTGGGTGAACTTTTAGCATTATAAAAAAAAATAATCACATTTTCTAAGTGTTTATAAAATTTTTGACATGTTAGTCTTGAAGCATGTGTGTGTTTGTGTAAACTTGTGGTCTCTCTCATATAATTTTTATTTTATTTTGTTTAAATGTTAATTTTGATGGATGCACATATTCGAGTAGAAGCTCTGTTTTTTTTTTTTTTGTTTGTTTTTTGTTTTTTTATCCAATTACATCTACCAGCCTGAATGTCAGAAAAATATGTGTCTTCCAGCAGCTGACAAGATTTCTCGAATATTCAGGCTGGTAGATGTAGTTGGATAAAAAAATACTGTAATACAAAACTTTAAATAAAATAAATTAAAAATAATGTCATACTTAATCCATTTTCTAAAAATAAATCGTTTTTGTTTGTTAGGGTATGAAACAGCAGATGTGAACATTTCAAGAATCAGTGTATGTGTGTTCAAAAGGCACTATTTGGGCTTTGTTTGATCATTGATATCAAAAAGTGAATGATATCATTGTTTGGTCATAAGTTTTATGTGGCTGAGCAGTTAAGCACGTCAGGTCCAATGATGGTCCTGCATAAGGGATGCAGGTTCGAATCCTGCCAAAAGATGCATATTTTTCTAACAAGATTTCTTGAATATTCAGGTTGGTAGATGTAGCTGGATAAAAAATACTGTTTAAAAAATAGAGCTTCTATCCAAATGTGTGTATCCATTAAAAATAACATTTAAACAAAATTAATTAAAAATAATGTTGGATTTCATCCATTTCCTAAAAACACATTCTGTCAAGAATCCTGGTTGAGGGTTCAGTAAATTCTAAGTTTTAATCAAACAACCTGCACAAGTGAATTGTTTAGTGGTCAGTTGCCTGTGTCTTGCAATAAACACTCTCTCCATCATAGAACCATGTCCTGTACTGGTGCAAGGTGTGCCACATGTCAGATGATGCAACAATTGCAGTTTTTTTTTAATACTTTTCTAGCTGCATGGTAGCTGTTGACTCCTATGATAAGCTCTCCATCCTTTGTCAACCCTGTATGTTTTTTAATATATATTAGTAATATTTTGTCATTTAGCTGGTTGATGTTACCTTCAACATCCTGACTTCAGGGTTTCATAGACGGACTCATCTGTCCACTTTCTTTTTTATGCATTTACAGTTGGTGCAAGTTTTTTTTTTTTTTTTTTTTTTTTGTTGTTTGTATTGGAGTGTGTGGATGTGCATTTGCATGGACACCCCTCTGTGCAGATATACACACATCTGCAGAGAAGGGTGCACATGCAAATACATGTAGGGTGCTGTGTTAGTCTTTTATTTATTTTTTTTCTCCACTTTATGGACTCAGAATAAATATACATTTGTTGTTTAGTTTGATGCAATTCTTTCATGCCTGTATCAATCATTGGATGCAAATTAAAAGCTGACCATTGTAATATGTCACTATTTATAGCCTCATGGTTGAACAGCGAGGAACAAATGTATATTCATTCTTAGTATAAATTTTAGTTTTATGTATGTATCTAGAGGTATAGGAATGTTTTATATTCCAAATACCTTGTCAGTAGTTTTTAACAAAACTTTCATATATATATATATATATATATATATATATATAGCTTCAGTTTATAAATTTGGATAATTGTAGTTTTGGTTTGAAATAGAAGTATTCAATGTATATCAATTTTTGAATTAACTTGGAACAAATGTCTTTTATAACTTTTTGTTTAAAACATACACACTTCTGCATATCAAAATATATTTTCCATAGCCTTTACTAACATTATCATTTTTTAAATTAATATTAAATGTAAATCATTTCAAGAACTTGACATGATTGAAGATAATGTTTACTGTGGATCCACAAATTTTGTTATCAACAATATTTGGATGTGCTAGCTACATAATGAAAAAATAAGATATGTCTTAAGAATTAGAAACTGGGCTCTAACATTATTTGTTTTCTCTCTCTGAATGAAGGCAAGAATTTCTTATTTAAGCTTAACTATTGTCTGTCTACTTATAAGAATTCTTAGCACTGTATGCAGGTGTCATTGCATTTTAAAAATAGATATCTGTTGACTCCGTTCTTTTATTGGGTATTGGTTAATTAACTTATCTATTTGTATTATATTTCCCTCTGTCAGTATTTTCACAAGGACATTTAGATTTTGCTCCCAATGAAGGGTGAATTCACTAGCTGTGATCTATACCTTGTTAATGTATCTTTGTGCTTTGGACCATCGCCCAGTTAGCTTTTAGATATTGCTTCTTGAGTGATCACTGTTATTTAATGCAGGAAAAGTGGTGTGATCATAAAGAGACTCCACTGTTTAAAAATCGTTGCTGATGAAAACAGTTGAAGGAATGATTCTGGTTTCTTTGTGTACTTTGTTCTACAGTGAGATGGGATGGCTGCTTCTAGATTTTGGTAATGGAAATGTGATGAGTGTCAAATAGGGTTCTCTTCTGTAGTGTTTGAATTCCTTTTTCATGTCAGCTTTATTTGAAAAAAAAAAATCTTGGATCAAGATCTCAGCCCACGCTCATATTAGACTAAAATATTTTGGCTGGGATTGATCAAAGATAAGATATAGATCAGAATGTGACCCTAAGCCGTAATACTCAATTAAAGGACCATTCTTCAAATTTTTAGCTTGTTTAATAAGGATCAGCTCGTGTATATTGCTACATTAACAGTCATTATCTGTGTCTATATTTCATGGATGTATTTGTAGACCTTGGTTAAAGATGCTCAATTAAAAACATTGGCTTTCATTCATATGTTGAGCCTGTCAGTATGTAGATGGGCAATCACTTGAGAATACCAGTTGCTGTAAACTTGGATGTGTGGGCAGTATAATGGATAACTTGGAATTGGAAATCGGAGAGCAGAGTTCAAATTCCAGTTGGGTTCATTATATTCACATATGTGCAAATACCTTTGGGAAAGATATGAATCAGTCTTTATTTTCCCAGCTATGGGTTAATTAGTTGGACCTGTATCAGTTAATATTATCTCCAAAACTTCTTAGAATCTAAAAATAATTTCTGGCTTTAAATAACCTGCAATAGCTGTGAAAAATCAATAAATTCAAATTCTGATATTTACATATATCAGAAAATTAACAATTCGTCAAGTCAGTACATTCTGTTTTTTTGGAAATGATTTTGATTGCATCTTGAGGATAGTTTTGCACATGTGTACGAATACACACAAGAATACCCCATTTGACAGTAATTTTTCAAGATTTAGCTAACTAGGTGATATTTGTTCCTTTGAATTCAATGTTGTCATTCTCCTACACTGGATACCAATCATAGTTTAAAGTCCAGATGTCTGTGATTTACCCTATAGCTGAGGGAAGAAGAAATGGGTTCATTTAAATAAAACTCTAAAACCCTTATCAAGCATCTTGTTACTTCCTCTCATGACTGACAATTGTTATAGAAACCATACTAAAATTAATGAAGTATTAATGTTGGGAGTGTGTGTGTATATATATATATATATATATATATATATATATATATATATATATATAATTTTTTTATATACATGCTTTTCTGTGTTTCATCATGGCAATAGCAGAATAGTCTAGATGACTGTGAAAAGGACAAAGGACCTTCATGATAGTGAAAATGATATCAGTTACCATAACTGGAATTGAATTTTACTATTTTTATTTTTGGGTTCTGGCTTTCAAGTTTCTTCTCATTTTAATCTGTTCACCCATTTTCCTCCTCTCTCTCTCTTTTTCAGTGACATTAGTCTTTGCTGTGGAGCATAGGGTATAGCCTCACCATTCTAGGTTTTGCTGTTTTGGCTTCTATAGCAAGTACATTTGTATAGGGGAGAGTTTCCCACCTCTTGCTCAACTATTTTTGATATGTTATCATTCTCCAAGACTAGTTACCAACCAAGGCTTGAGTGCCCAGTTTACATTGCTATTTAGTCTATAGCTGATGGGATGAAGAGATGGATTCATACTTTTGCCAATGGTATTTGTGTGAAAGTGAATACAATGAACACTGCATGCTAATAACACTTTTTGTACCAACAACCACTCATATTCATTATAGATAATAGATTAAGATGGAGGCAAATTTCATCTTTCTATTTTAAATGTTTTTTTTTTTTTTTTTTTTTTTTCATAAATAACCTCTACCTTGTCTGAGGATGTAAACTGACTACACTATATTTGTTAATGAATCTCTTAGTTATTGATGTTATATTTGATCATTTCATTGTTATCTACATCTTATCCTAGCATGATAAATATCTAAATTCTCAGAAAATAATCAAAGAATTCTTACATGCAGTATTGAGTATCTTTTTGAAATTTTCACTAATAAAATTTAATAATATTTTAATGAAGAAAAACAAAACACTGAATAAATATTTGATTAAAGTCTGAATTCATGGAGCACTGAATGAACTCACTAGTATGTGAGACTAGATAGTTGTTATACTTGGCCAATTTAAGCACAAAAATGAGACACCTATTGAGGAACAAACATGTTGGAAGATAAAGGGATGGAAGCAACTTTTTTCTTTCCTCTCTGTCATTTTCCCTCTCTTTTTTTCCACCCTTTTTCTCCCTCTCTTTTTTCCACACTTATTTTTTCCCCATTCCTTCTTTCTTTTCCCCCTCTGCTCCTCCTTTCTTTTCCCCCCTCTGCTCCTCCTTTCTTTTTTCCCCCCTCTGCTCCTCCTTTCTTTTTTCCCCTCTCTGCTCCTCCTTTCTTTTTCCCCCCCCTCTGCTCCTCCTTTCTTTTTTTCCCCCTCTGCTCCTCCTTTTTTTTTTTCCCCCCCTCTGCTCCTCCTTTCTTTTTTTCCCCCTCTGCTCCTCCTTTCTTTTTTCCCCCCTCTGCTCCTCCTTTCTTTTCCCCCTCTGCTCCTCCTTTCTTTTTCCCCCCCTCTGCTCCTCCTTTCTTTTTTCCCCCTCTGCTCCTCCTTTCTTTTCCCCCCTCTGCTCCTCCTTTCTTTTCCCCCCTCTGCTCCTCCTTTCCCCCCCCCTGCTCCTCCTTTCCTCCCCCCCTGCCCTCCTTTCTTTTCCCTCTTTTTCCTTTTCCTTCCCTCTCCCTTTTCATTCAGTACTACATCTGAAAATCAAGAAATGTGGCAGTAGGAATTGAAGTTTCTCAATTGCACACATGGTTATAGAGTTGATGCTCTTATCTTGATTAGTTTCATTATTTTTATTTTATTTTTTGTTTTAAGTCAGGTCAAGTTTGTTCATTCAACTAGTCAGAAATTATCAACATTGGCATTGCAGCTGATGACATTTCAAGGTCTTTTATAGCTGAAGGATAAAGAACAGCATGGCACTGGAAACCAGGAGTTGTGTAGAGATTTTATCTCTTCAGTTCCAAATTCTAGGATAACACAGGAAATAAAATTAGAGTGGATGTTGAGGCTTCTTAGGTTTCAGGTTAGTCTTCTTATAGCCACCAATACTTTAAGTTTGCTATATATACTTAGTCATTTCATTGACACAAGCACACATATTCCAAAAGTTAGAGATTTGATTTGTTCTTTTAAAAACATTACAGACTAATTGCATGCAAAAAGTGGTAAAGGTTCTTTTAACATTACTTATTGTGACACACACACACACACATATATATATATATATATATATATATATATATATATATATATATAATATTCCCAAGAGGATAGAATCCAGGTAGAACTTAATGTCCAGGACAGAGAATATTTTCTGATTCTTTTTGAATTTGTCAGTCTGATGAATTGGATCGGGATTACGATTCCAATGTAATAAATTATAACCATGGAATATCAGTGTTTGAGCCTTTCATATATATATATATATATATATATATATATATATATATATATATATATATATATAATAATTAAGAAAGAGACAGCCTTTAAGGTTCCATGACTATAATTTATGGATTCTTAAGGTTGTCTCTTTCTTAATTATTTAATTGATATTTGCTCTGGTGTTACATTGAGCTCTCTAGATTACATCCTCTTTGAAATTATCCACATGGATTACCAAACCCTTCATTACCTTACTATATATATATATATATATATATATATATATGTGTGTGTGAAAATATATAGAAAATAGGAAAGAACTCGTTAGGTAAATAATACAAAGTTCTTTAGTATTTTTGTTATTATTTTTAAAAAACAGTGCTCAATACAAAAGTAGAGCCTAAATATAATTATTTAAAAATATGATTCCATCGTTACATAAGAGTTCTCAGGTTTCAAAACAAGAGCTGAAAACTTCAATATAATTATTTGAATTAAATTGAATTAAAGTACCAAGCTCTGTTCCATCTTCAAGTGAAATTGATTCCCAAAAAAATTTCGCTTGAAGATGGAACAGAGCTTGGTACTTTAATTCAATTTAATTCAAATAATTATATTGAAGTTTTCGGCTCTTGTTTTGAAACATGAGAACTTTTATGTAGTGATGGAATCATATTTTTAAATATATATATGGAGGATGATTGAAAAGTCACTCTCTATTTTATGTATGATGGATTCCCCTCTCTAACTATAATTTTTACAAGATGGGGGAGTCTATCATACAATCATCTTGTATATAGAATTATAACAAAAAGAAAAATTTGTCACTTAGCTCATTGATGCTATATTGCTATATTCAGTACCTCAACTCTGGAGTTTCATAGATGAACCCTTTTTGTAATTAAAGAAGTTTCACTCTTTTTTTTTTCTTTTTTTTTAACTACATCTTAGTAGATTGAGAAAAATCGTCAAAGGTGTGTGATTATAAACAGTAATTTAGACTTTACTAACAAAGATGCTACTCATTGGCTGAATGGTAACGGCATGCCAATTCCTGTCAAAATACATATTTTCTATGAATTTTCTCATTCAGGTCAGTAAATGTAATTAATACTGTTTAATTATAAACAAAGCATTAATAAATTATATCTATAACAATAACATATAAACAGAAAATATACTAAGTAATTGTCAGACTTGGTGGACTCTTTTGTCGTAACTTGACGTATGAGGGTCAGCAACTCCTAGGAGCTGACACCAGCACATATGATTTGATTATAGTGGTGAAGGCTTTGTGCAGAAACAACCACACTTTTTGAAGGGCTGAATACAGAGATCTGGTGCACTACATGCCACAAGGTCCCCAAACAACCTTCCTCAGGTTTTGAATTCTGAGTTGTCCTTCTCCTAGTCCAGTTGTCATCCAAGGCTATAGAACCCAGTCTGTCCTGCTAATTACCCATAGCTAGAGGAAGAAGAGGATTAATAACTTTCCCAAAGGTATTAGTATGTAATGTAATGGATTCGACTGGAATTCAAACTCTGTTCTCCGAGCCACTATTCACTACTCCACTATACCTCCTAATTGTCAGGACTTAATCCATTTCATAATATATATATATATATATATATATATATATATATATATATATATATATATATTAGTTGACTCTCCCACAAATTCGACGCATGAGGGTCAAGCAGATCAGTTTCCAGGAAACTGACAGCGTGACAACAGCACATGAGATTTGATTATAGTGGTGAAGGTTTCCTGCAGGGCCAGCTACACTTTTGGAAGGGCCGAATTCAGAGACCTGTTGCACTAAGTGCCACAAGGTCCCCAAACGACCCTCCGCAGGTTTTGAATTCAGAGTTGTCCTTCTCCTAGACCAGTTGCCATCCAAGGCTATAGAATCCAGTCTGTCCTGCTATTTACCCATAGCTGGAGGGAGAAGAGGAGGATTCACACCTTTCCCAAGGGCATTAGCACGTAAGTGTATGTAATGGATTCAACTGGAATTCGAACTTGGCTCTGCGATTCCTCAATCCAAGCCGCTATCCATTAGTGATAATCAGTTATGAATGAGAGTAATCTTGAATAAAGTTCCATTTAAAACAGAAACTTACTATGACCAGGAAACAAAACAAGTATATATTTAAAAAATATTTTTGTGTTTCTTCTGCTGTGAAATGTGTGATATTCTTGAAGTTTGAAATAAAGTATTTAATCAATCTCATTTGGATGTTCAGGGAGTGTAATGTTTCACAGTTTGGAATGAGTAAACACCGAACCTGGATTTGAATTCCACCCAATTTTGTTACGTTCACTTTTGCCTAAATACTCTTAGGAAAGGTATGAATCCCTTTCATCTTCCCTCAGTTTTTGATGATCAAGAAATTATAATGTGGATCAATTTTAAATTACAATCAATTTTAGTTTCTATACATTTATATTCCAAACAGCGCGTAAATCTAAAAGACGTGCCTGCGTAGCCAATCAGCATTTCATTGATTGTTTGGTTTTCCACGTCTTATCAATCCTTTTCAGCTTATTTAAACCCAGAAAATATTTTGAGATTGTAAGATTTTTTTGTTTTGGATAATAATGGTTTAGTGATGCAAGTCTTATTAATTAATCCATAGCAGGGGGGTTATACCTTTATTAAAGGTATTTGCGTGTAAGTGAACACAGTGAACCCAACTGGAATTGGAACTTAGCTCTACGATTAACAATTCCAAGCAATTATCTTTTGCACCACCTGCACATTCAAGCATAGAGCACCTGCTATTCCCATCTAGGTACTGACCAGGCTTGACATTGCTTAACTTCGGTGATCGTATAGCATGCTAGTCGGTATCTTTGGGCAATCAAACTCTTTTTTTTTTTTTTCCTTAGATTGACAATCATTCTACAGACTTCTCAGCAATATTACCTATGAAAAGAAATTTTATTTTTTTCCATTTGTGCAAAGTGAAAAGAAAAACCAAGAAAACAACATTTATACATGGTAATACCTGCCATATGATGGTAAGATATTAGTAGTAATGGTGTTTTCATCTAGCTAATGTTTTACCATAATGTGGGAGGTATTTCTGCCAAACCCTGTATATTAACAGCAACACTTGGAAAATAAGTTAGTGTCTTTGCTGCAATACCTCCAGCACAGCATAATTTTTAATGATGATCTCAATTTTTTCTTTGTTTAACAAAGAATTCTCTATTGAGCAATGAAAGCCACACTATTTTGACTTATACATTTAACTGACAGATTGATGTATTCATGTTCTTTGTCTATTATTTAAGGTTTCTCTCAGCATTAGTAATGTACACCATTCTCCCTTCAGATAGGATCTGCCAAACCAGTTATTTTTACACTTCTTAGGATATGGTCTTTCTATGTTCTTTTTTAAGGGGACAACTACTCTCTCTTTTATATTCTTTTTCACATTTAGGATGTTGTATATTCAGTTTTTTTCATTAGACTTTTCTCTTGAAAACCAATTTGATATTATGGCAATGATGAGATTAACCATTTCCATACAGGAAATATTTGCATTCCTTGACTGAACAATTAGCATTACTGTTGACCGAAATTTAATTCTGTCTCTTAAAACAGTGTTCAGGAAAATAGGCTTCTCAAGTTCAGTAACTGTTATCACTCTTTCTATTATTGATTGGAGTTTTCTTCCTAAAGTTTTCTTTAAGCTAGTCTTGGAAATCAACATCTCAATTATATCATTATTTTTCCCTTCTGGTTACATTTAATATCCTTTTTAGTTGTTGCTACTTTTGGAAATTTTCAAGTGATGTAGTTGTTATTTGATAAAGCACTTTCTTTGTGATTCTCTATTGATAGTCTATAGGGTCTGATGATAGATAGTATAATGTTCACAAATCATTTACATTTGTTTAGCCTAACCTCTTACATATTGTATTCTAATTGTAGCTCTATAGTTAGTGTTACTGGGATTTTTTTTGTCTTTGAAACAATACTATTATACTGAAGAGTTCCTTATATTCTTTAGTTCTTTCGTTAATTTCACAAGATCACTGTTGTTGACCTTTCTCTGTTACTCGAAGCAATGAACTAACCCTTTCTTAATTATATGTAATACTGGTAGGTAATTTTTATCTAGTTAAGACATATAGTTGATTTATTAATATTTCAAACCTAATAGAATTTGACTTACAATTTTTATACTGATATGAAACAAATCAGGCTTTCCTCAAATTTACTGTGTATGAACTTGCAAAAACACTTTCCAAACTTTTATATTTTTTCTTTTGCTCTTACTACCATTACAAATGTCAC